TTCTGCTCCATTATACTGTATCTAAATTAATTACTGATTAATTACTAAACGGGATCCAAAACCTGAGCATGGATCTGGTAGACAATAGGCTTGTCCTCATCAGCTCCAGATTGCCAAATAGCCTGCTACATGTATATCTGATTTGCGTAATATCCTGAAAATACAAATCACGTCTTCATCAGCTCGAGACTTGACCTGGAAACTTGAAACTTGAAACTCAAGCTCAAGAAATTAGCTCAAGAAAATTTGCTCAGTGTTTGTGCATAGTGCAAGTCTTGTGCCAAATAAAGGGATATATTACAAACTAGCCCAAGATATCTTGGGATGATTATCTCAACCAAATATCCCCGCTAATTGCAACTTCGATCTGATGAAGACGCAAATTAACTGGATAATTTGTGATCGGGATAGTTCAAATAGCAGGATATTTTTGGCAATCTCAAGCTAATGAGGACAGACCTACATGTAATACAGGAAACGACATTTAATGAATCCCAAGGTAAAGTCAGGCCACTTGCACGAATTGAACAGTTAGAACCTAGGATTTATCAGGAAAATGAAGAATAAAAGTTCAGTTGGAGTCTTCCAGACTTCTCAGAAAGACCATTCCACTTGGAATTGGAAACTAGGCCACAAATAACTTTATAAATTATGAACCTATTTCGTGGTTCACACTCAATTTGGAGAATACAACTTGAACTTAGAGAATATGTGTACAGTGATTATAGTTTGTCAATGACCAGTGAAACAATTCAAGGATTCAGCTGTTATTTAAGATAAGTTGGTCAAGTTTTATGAAGAGGTCAGGGTCTCTGGCCTTGTTCACATTGGTTACTAGGCCTGTTTACACTCAGCTAAACTATAGTATAAAGCTTCATGTACATTTTCTTTGGGAAATGTATAGATACCCTTGTGACACAAGCTTTTGCTGTTTTTGCCATAATTTCAGTGGTGTGATTCAATTATTATTTTGAATTCAAATTTTGCTAATCTTGACCATTCACAAACTATGCAAAATGTTCATTTACACCAAAGTTGCTAGTTTGTTACTTACAGGAACTTAGCATTATGGCCAATATTTGTCTACTGCAGATAGTAGTATCAGGGTAGAATCATTAATTATTGTATCCTTCTACTGTAAATGTTTCAATTTGTACTAACAAGATTGTGGTATCAATTAGCTACATACATGCATTCGGCATGTCTGAGGGCGCGTTCATGCTTGATTTTGACGGCCAGAATCAGGCATCTGTTAAGCGTTCAGTTTAAAACACGATTGCGTTCATGCTCACTTTTGTAGAATCACCGAAAAACGGCGATCACGATCGCCGATCGTAAACTCACAAAAAGATGCGTTTACAATTTGTAAACGCGTTTAAATGGGGTCAACACACTGACCTCTAGTGGGTCTACGTAGCATGCGCACACAGGTTTGCGAATCCAGCTGAAGGCCACCCAAGGAGAATTGCCTGGAGAAGTGAGCATGAACAGTGCACCGTGGAACTGCGATTACGATGAGCGTTTACGATGAGCGTTACAAATCGCTCATTCTGCCTTCAAAATCAAGCATGAACGCGCCCTCAGATGCACTCAATGTACAATGTACACCCAAGATGTTTTCATTCAAGGGAAAGGCAGAAATATCTTACAAATATACTGTAAGATGAGTTAAATGATAATAACTGAAAAAGAATTCACATTGTATTGTACTAAAAGAATTCAATGATTTTTTTAATTCTAAGATTTGACAAACTAATGATTTCATAGTGAATTGACCTTATGAATATATATCAGTTACCTGTCTGACTATGCGAAGGTCATTAGAGGTCAAGTACTGAGACTACTGACATGCTTGTGTCTAGTAAAGAACATGTTAAGATGTCAATTGATTTATCTAAGATTGTCTGCAAATGATAGGCATAATGGGGGAAGTAGACCAAAGATAGTGAGTTGCAAAGTAGTACTGTTTTCCACCATTACATGTAGTTCAGTTACACAGCTAAAAACACCATTTTGAAAAATCATTATCTCTTTGGACTGCCATTTACACTACCATCAAAAACAGATCTGCATTCTTTCATCAATATTCAACTTCAAACACATTTGTTTTGGAAGTCCTTGCAGAAATGTGTCTTAAATGACATCCTCTTTCACATTATGTACAATTTAAGTGAAATTTTGGGGCTCCCAACACTTCATAGATCTGTGAAATTTGGGCAGGCGTGAATAACCAAAAAACTGTCCAGAGGTGGGTTTTTATTGATTTTGTTTTTTTGTGGTGTTCGCAGGTTATTCCATTAACCTGCTATTAATAAATGAACTACATTAATTGTTGCTATGTTAGGTAGGTCTTGTGGTAAATATTCAGGTTGTCCAGAACCACCTTCGTTTGAACAGTATGCATAAAATTTGAATATATTAGTAAACTGGTCTATTCCTTTAATATGGTTCTTTTATGTTGCTATTTAGTATTTTAGAGTTCTTCATACTGAGTCTGATTATAATTCTCACTACTTTTTAATTTAAATTAACATGAACTTGTCATGTTGCTGTTTATTATAGGGCTAAAGTCGTGAAGGTTACTGGTTACAACAAAGCCTGCACATGAGGTTCACCATGAAATCTGTGCAAGCAACGGGCTGGAGCAGGGTCTCATTGTTTGGTGCTGGTGTGATCACCACACCATTGTTTAGCACAAACTTATTTGTAACCAGTAACCTTGACAACTTAGCCAGTATGACATCACACTTCTGACGTCTATACTCTTTTGTCCAAAATCCTTCTCTTAGTTTTGTTCCTATTCTCCCTTGTTATTCTAGTTCACCCTGTTAATACTATGGTAAGCTTTTGGAGTTGAATTCTTTCTCCCACACATCTTCTGGTATAGGTTATATCAAGGAGTGCTGGTAAACTCCTTGGTTATATCACCTGAGTGGGATTGGAATGATGGGTTGAACCTTTGACCTTTGACTTGACCTGCTGGGTCATTTGTCATTTCACTTGGGATTAGGGGAGTGTTGTCATTATAGGAAAGGTTCTGAAGACTGAAAATGGTGATGAAAATACTGTCTAATAACTGTCTAGCCTACAGAGTACATGAAGATAAAAATTATTCTGTATTTATATACAGAATGATGTTTCATTGTTTTGTATGTCTATCTTAGCAGTTCTCATGTTACATCCATAACTGAGCATGGTAGAATATACATTTGTCCAAATGTTCAAACCTTTACATTAGTCTTATATGTACATTTTTTCATGTCGGCACATTTTTATTACTTTGATTAAATTGATTTACTTTTAATTTTATCCCTACTAAATGTATTTTTATTTAAAAAAAGTAGTGAGTCATTCTCTGATAGTCGTGGCTACATTTCAATCATTCAGATTATATGTTTCATGAATCATTCAATCTATTTTCATAATGTTTGCGAGGTCAGCCATATGTAACCTCAAATATGCTCTGCAAACCTATTTTCCTTTTGGGCATATTTACAAATCCAATTTCAAAACGAACTTTGAACAGTTCTGGCTCTAATTAATCATGTATGATGTGGACAATCTGATGTTTGTAGAAAACACGATTGTCTACATGCATGCACTATTGGTCTCATTGTATTTTGTTAGCTGAAGGTTTTTAATCTAACTCATTGGCACAAATCTTTTAAAAGAACTTTGATACGTACATGTAGCACTGGCATTTGCATTCAATTATTGCAAATGTTTATATATCCTCAAATATAAGTGACATGACTTTTTGTGTTTTATTTTGTGACAGGGAAAGGGGGTGGGGCTTTTTATGAGTTATAATGACAAAGTACACAAGCTTTCCATTGTTCTGTAATACATTTAGATAATTATTGCCATGCAATATACTACCCAAACATAAGGAAGTGAAATAGATATTTTTGACAAGTTTTGTACAGGTTTGTTCCTGGTTTGGTTTCATTTACTTTCATGACCTTTAAAGTTCAGTATGGGTGAGGTACGCACTGTTTTCATGCCTTGTTGCTTAGGTGAATTCCTCACATAACTCATTCAATCGGATTTAATTGCTTTAATAGATATGTGGTTCAAGTCGTGTAATAATACGTCTCTGTATATCTCTTAAAGGGGCAAAAAAATACAAGTGAAAAATGGACATGGTTTAGGGCAAGTAGCCTAAGAAAGAAAATCAAATAAAGCCTCAGAAAACAAAGAGGATTTACCATAAAGGAGAATGTTTGTGAATGGATGATGAAACAGAGAATCATTAAATGTGATAGTCTGACTAAAAATGAACCATTTGGGATAACAATTTTTTTAAATTAAATCCTTGATGATACAAAAAGAACTAGCAATGCATGTAGCTACATGCCAAACCGAATCTGCTCTAATTATACTGATATTTACTTCAAATTCTTGGTAGGGAAATTTGAATGAAAGTTTTAAAACAAATAGTGGATCCAGATTTGTAGCATATCAATTTATTGAAAGCTAATATCAAGATGTTTATTGCTCATAAATAAACATTTCAAGGACAGCTGAGTGTGAAAGCCTTTTGCATGGTAATATGTATATTTTTTCTGGCCAGAATAGATGAATATTACTATTCTAGTCTTCATAACACATTGATGTCCCCCTTTCGAATTTCTATCACTTTGTTCAAATAATAATCATGGAAACCTTTACTATTACAAATAGGTTACATGATCATATCCTCAAACCTTCAATGTTTAAACTTTTTTTCTGGCCAGAAATAATGAATACTATATTTAATATGGACCAAGCAATACTAGTGCTTCTTATTGAAAATGTTAACATTTAAAAGTTAGATATGATCGTTTCTTTCAACTTCAAGATAACAAGTGCAAATGGCACAATGAAAGCAGAAAGATGTCACAAGAATTGTGATTTTGTTTTGACTGGATGGCAATATATGGGACCATGTGTCAACATTATCTTTCAATAAAATTAAAAATAATTTAAAACATTTGGTTTTCTTTTCATATTTCTTTCAGGAGCAGGAGTTGTTACTCCTCCACCTAAGACTGCCCCCAAGCCTCGTGCCAAGCCAACCCTGCCAAGACGAGCCACAAGTGATGCTCTCCCTGTCCCAGCAGCCAAACCAACCAAAAGTTCCAAACCACCACCAGTGGTTGCTCAAAAGCCCAAGCCTGGCCAAGCTCCGGTCGTTTCCCCTAAGCCACCACCTCTGGAATCATCAAGACCTCGATCAGTGAGTGCTGGTGCAACGCCCTCTTCGGGGACAGCCCCTGCGGTGACCAATGGTGGTACTCCACCTCCTGTAGCCTTTAAGCCCAAGCCCAAGCCTCCACTCAAGAGGAAATCCTGGATTGCTTCTCCACAGCAATGCCTGGACCTCAAGGAAAATACAGGAACAACTGAAGCGATATCAGAGGAAAAGAGTACACCTGCTTCTGAGGAGTCTGTCTGTGACCAAACAGAGATTTCCCCACAAGATAAGACTGAGAAAGAGGAACAAAAGTGTGTAATAAGTGAAAGTATAGACCATAATTCATTATCACCTGAAGAAAGCAGAGAAAGCTCGGGTGATGCTGACAGTAATCAAATTAGTCAATCCACTGATGATGTATTAAGAAACTCAGATCCTGCGAATTTAGAAAGTCATGCACCGAATGATGAACTAGGACATCGTGAAACTTTGAAGAGTAACTCTATAGACAATACTGCTGCAACCCCTTCTGATTTGCCCGTTGATACTTCTGTGAGGGGTGAAGACTCTTCAGAAGTTCCAGTGCCACATGACAATGAAAGTATTAATAACGACTGTTCTCCTAAAGAAGATGCTTTAGAGACTGCTGATACTAATTCTATCACCCAATCCTGTGAAACATCAGCAAGTAGGAGCTCTGATGTTTCACCTGTACCTGACACAGATATTGTTCCTGATAGCGATTCACCCGCAGCTGTACAGGACAGTCTTCATAATTTGAGTGCTTCTTCAGACGTCACTGCCAACTCCATACCTACATACCAGCCAGAAAACCAAAGTGTCACAACAGATCCTACATCATGTGATGATGATGATGATGATGCCTTTGAGAAAACTGAAGATTCAACAAGGAAGGAGGAATCTGTAGTATCTCCAAAGCCCCCATTCCTGCCCCGCGTCGATCTCTGTCAAGTGTTTCTTCAGATGTGTCCTCTCAGTCTCTAGACTCTTATGACTTTCTAAGTAAGTATAATCAGGGGATTCTATTATGCAAGATTGGTTATTCCATATCCTGTCCTAATGGTTGAGGGTTTAATTAGTCAAAGATAAAGGTTCAAGTACATTGCAATAACAAAAATTAATTGTTGGACTGACAACCAAGAATGGATCGGTTTATAATTGTGACTACAAGAGAATGAATTTTTTATTTCCTTTATCTGAGCAGCAAGAGAGGAAGTATTTCCCAGGAAATACATGTAGGCTCTTGAGGTTCTAGAACTTATAGCTTTAAAGGGGCTAGGTGATAGAGAATTAATGCATTATCCATTGGCACCAATGCTAGTAATTTGTTTTTAGACATTTCTTAGATCATTACTCTTTCTATTGAACCGTAATGTCTGCATGATATCATGTTTATGAAGGATCAACTTTTTCCAGTGCCATTGTAACTCTCCCTGTACAAACAAGAACTATTTATTTTTTTATAATGATGGTACTTATTGGTTCGATGTTCTCGTCTTGTCTCTCACAGATAGAAGCAGAGGTGGCAGTTCTTTCAAAAGTCAAAAGTCCCAATCTGTCCGCAGCCAGGGAAGCAGCCGTCTTGGTTCAGACAGTGAGGATGAATGTGGAGTCTTTGAGGTCCAGCCGGAGATTGCAGAAGAAGACGAAGAAGAAGCGGAGGAAACAAGGGTTCATGCAGAGACCTCTGATCCTGATGAAAAGGACAGTTTGAAAGGACAGAACTCCAGCATCAGTGTTTTTGGAGATCTTCAAGAAAAGGAAGGACACATTGCTGAAAATGATGAAGACATTGTCCTTGTTTCACTGACAGCAGCGGCTCAAGGCAACACTGAGGTTGAGGAAGATACCAAAGCAAAAGAGAATGACCAGGTTGTTCCTGTACAAGAGCATAGCAGTATTCAAGAACCCACTGTTGAACAGTCTAAATCAAGCTCTGCTGTCGTAGAAGGTCAGGGTGATAACCATATAGCCCTTCAAAAAGACACTAGAACTCCAGAAAATACTGAGGATCCATCGAAAGCTGAGATTGAAGTTGGTGAAACTACTATAGGTGAATGTGTTGAGTTAGCTGCTGAGGATATACCTGTGTCCAGTTCAGAAATTAAGCAACCAGGAGTCAGTCGGGATATTGAGGAGAGCAAAGAAACTAAAGGGCAAGAACAACAAGAACTTCAAGAAAGAGAGGATGCCAAAGGGGAACTTGCGCAAGAATTAACTGAGGAAGGCAAAGTAGCAAGTGAGGAAGAAGAAGAGAGTGAAGAAGAATTTGATGAGATGGGGAAGCGGGTATTTTCGTTGTCAAGGAAGAAGAAGCCTGGAGTGCTGAAGTATTCCTCAGGAGAGTTCCATGAGCAGTATGAAGCTTCTGGAAAGGAAAAAGCAGTTTCTGAAAACTCTAAGAGCAAGGACTCTAAGAAGAAACCTAAAAAAGATCCAAAGAAAGGGAAGAAAGAGGTGGCAGAAGAGAATACTGTAATTGAAAATGTCCATAATAAATCAACAGCTGTTGTTCAAGAGGATCAAGGCGCCACTTCCGAGGAGGACAGACCATCAAAACCTCCAAGAATGCGTCCTGGGGCAACACCAGAAGAACTAGAAGTTGGGAGAGCATCCACCACTTCAGATGTCTCTACCACTCCCTTGGAAGGTGAGGATGCTGTACGACCTCTCCCGGCTCCAAGAAGCTCTTTTTCCAGACCGTTCTCTCGACCAAAGATCAGTCTTAGCCATCGGGTGAGGAGTGTCGACGTAGAGAGTGATGAAGATGATGAAAGCTCCCTCACTGGCGACGTGGAAGTTGCTGGTGGTGCAGATGATGATGCATCCAGAGAGAAGCACATCGTCAATGGAGGAGGAGCAGGAGCTGTTGTGACTCAAGTGGATTCAGACGGAGAGGAGGAAGTGTTCATAGGCGGTATGCCATCCAGCTCCATGTGTACACAAACAGCTTTTGTAGATCAGACCTCTATCACTTCATCAGCAGATGAATCAACAGAAAAGAGTGCTTTACAGCAAGGGAACAATCCCCAACAGTTCCGCCACTTTGCTACTATCGAGCCAGTAGGGAATGCAGCACTAAGAAGTTCCTCTGTGGAGGTCCCTGCTGGCAATCCAACCCTTATGTCAGGACCAGCAGACACCCTCTCTAATCTCAGTGAGAATCAGTCTGTCGCTATTAGTATCACTGAATCAGAACCATTAAGCGACAGTGCAGAGTTCCCTGCACATCACTCGGAGCATGCCATCAATAAGCCCTGGTCTGAAGTGGCTGCAGTGACTGTCTCTGTGACAACCATGCCAGAGCCCCTCGTTCCACAATTCACCCGTGTGGAGGGCGATTCCTCAACGTCGAGCAGTTCTTCATCGCTGGTCCCCTGTCAACCCATCGTCAAAGAGCCCAGAAGTCTTGATTCCAGTCAGGACGATGATGAAGATAATGATGGTGATGACGACAATAGGAATATGTATGATAAGATTGACATCTATGATGCGAGCTACAAAAAGAAAGACTGGAAATATCGCGAGACTGATGAGGAGCTTAGGATGAGCACACAACCTGATCCTGAAAATGGTATGTCACCTTGGTGTGCGTATTTCTTGCATAACTCATCACTGTTAGTCCTACCTTGTAGTTGCATGTTCTAACATCCATATTCCATCCAACTTTTTAGCTTGATTACAATGTGTTAACCATTTGTATTTAAAAGTTTTAAATTCAAAGTAACAAAGAATGATTACATATTTAGTGAAAGATATCACTCGTTTGGAAAATTGTGAAAGTCAATGATCCCTGTGAAGCTGGACCAGGCTAAGCACAAACTCTCTTATACAGGATGTGGGAGAAAATTGTTTGTGTTTTTAATTAAAAATATCTCCCTTCTGGAAAACTAATAAAGTGTATATTTTTGCAACAATTTCAAACATTTAGATGTTGAAGCAGATGAGGCCAAAGACACGATCAGCCAACTGTCGGAGTCATCATCCCTCGCTACCACAGCCTCCGAGCAGGAGTTCAAATCCAGCTTTGGAGAGCGTCCTCATCGCATCCAGAGAAGGAGGGGCTCGGAGGACTTTGTGCGATTGTCCAGAATTAGTAAGTTCTTGGCTTCTAGTTAGTCCCGGTCACACTGCAGTGATTTTTGTTACCCGTTTGACTCCTAAAAACCTCACATTCCCATGTGCCAAACATCAGGAACCAACCATCTCACTCCACCTTGCTGCAGTTATCGCCGCTATGCAATGAGAATCGCAACATTCTGCCTTTCACAAAAGTAAATGGTTTTGATTGTATTAGTTCTTTTTTTCGTCAAAAAAAAAAAGAAAGACATTTTGTTACTTATTACATTGCCAGAAAAATGACACAATGTATATCCGTTAAGATTGAATATACTCACAGTGTCCTTGTAGGACTAAACAGTAGAGAGCACTGTACCAACAAAAACTTGCTTTGTAGACTGTGCTTGAAGGAGCAAGAGTTCTCTAAACAAATTGAAATATCTCACTTCCAAAAAGATTTTATGCCTGAAATACCAATACTTGTCCACTGAGTGTCTGTATGGAACCCTCTCAGACAACACGGGAATACAGAAGAGTTTTTCTTTTTCTATCACGTTTATGATAACATGTATGCCTTACATCTTCCTAGAATTATTGCAAAGTATTTTAAGATGACCACTTGAACCACAGTGATTTTCTCCTTTGTGCCAATTTGTCCCGTCACCCTTTATTGTTCTGACCCTTAGGTCGAGAGCGGACGATCACTCTTCGCAGACAAGATGGCACCTATGGCTTGAGGATACAGAAGAGCAAACCAGTGGTTATTACAACCTTAGACCCAGGTAAGATTCTTCTTACTGTTCTAGGATACCCCCTGGAAATCCACCCCCTATCAACTACCCCCTAGGACAACTATCCTAGGGGCTAGTTGGCCGGGGGGCAGTTGTCTGGGGAGTAGTTGTCCGGGGGTAATTGTCCCAGGGGGTAGTCGTCCTAGAGGGTGGCTGTCCTAGGGGGTAGTTATCTGGAGGGTAGATGTCCAGGGGGTATGTGTCTGGATACGACTTCTTACTATCAAAAGAGACAGTCCACCTTTAGAACTGGGTTGTTTCAGGACAAGTCCAAGCTACTTTGTCTGTGAACCGACATGAGCTCCTGCGACAATGCTGATAGGCTTTATTTTGTCAAAGGTGTAGGGTTAGGGTTAGAGTTTCATTTGGGTTTTAGGTTTGGTTAGGGTTAGGGTTAAGGTGAGGCATAGTGCTGGGCCCAGGGTTGGGGTTAAGAATTCAGTTAGTGTAGGAAATTTGATCATGAGCGATTGTCGCAGGAGCAATTATCGTATAACCATTTTGACATGAGTTACTGATCACATCTAAAATGTTAGTATATCTAAGTTGATAGCACTTCTAGAGCTAACTTGAATATCGAGGATAATGATACTTTGCAATGGATTGGTTGCCAAATGATCAAATTCCTTCGAGCCAAATTTTAATGAAAAAGCTTAGAATGCAAGAAACAGAATATTTGAGGAAAATCTAATGAAGGATGAGAAAGTTATGAATTTTTAGATCAAAAACAAATTGTCAACCTTATGATTACCCTTTTGAGTATTGCTTCATTTTGTCAAAATATCCATCCTGGTTTTTGATGGGTTCTTTTAAAACATGTGCCAAACAATATATCTAGAATTTCAAATTTTCTCAGCTGTAGATACTTACTGGTTCATCATAAAGTCACCTTGGTGCACAAGATAGATTTGGATTACCAGTAGCAGAATTCTTGTTTCTAGACCGCCGGCACTTCTTGATGCCATACCAGGGGAATGTGTCACAAAGATCCCAAGTCAAACTCAACTCTAAGTTGGACTTACATATTATGGAGAGCCATTTGTAGCCTTAAAATAAAACATATTCAAAAGCAAAAAGTCAAGTATTTTAAACTTTTCATAGATTTCACATCAAGAACACTAAATTTCCTTGATAATGGAAAATATGAATGATCTGAATCAACATTTTATGCCTTTTAAAATAACTTTCACAAAATACTTTCAAACATGGTAACGGCTTTTCATAATTATTAAGTTCAACTTAGGATCTTCATGAAACACCCCCCCCCCCCCCCGGCCCCCCAAGTCACATATATTTAAGATGAGAGTTATCTTTCCATGCATGTCTGTTCAATCCCTCACTGTGTACGACCACATTTCTATGCCATTCAGGAGGTGCTGCAGAGAATGCGGGGTTAAAGGTCGGTGATATGGTCATTAAAGTCAACGGTCAAGATGTGAGACAAGTACGCCATTCAGAAGTGGTCAAGATAGCCACAGAAGGTATGTAATGGTCATCTTTATTGCCATCATGTTCTTTGTAAGAAGTGTTATCATGCTGATTATACAACATCCATAGAGAGTTTCAATCTAGTAATGGTGGGAGTGGGGTTTTATTTTCACCACTGTAGCTGAACATATGGGAAGGCAGCCACAAAGTATTAACCTGGCCGGGTTTAGCCACATTACCATAAGGTGCTGATAGGTTTCCAGGGGGGTGTTTCACAAAAAACTTAGATCAACATTATGTTGACCTTAACTATGGCAGGCCGTTCATGCCCCTGGTAGGTCTCACCATTAGTCTCTCAATTAGGATCTTTAGATAATATTTTTTTCTTCAATAATAAACTATACAAAAATGTAAATTCTGTAGATTTGTGACCACGATTTGTTCATTCCTTGAGAAACCAATGCCAGGAATTTTAGAGGAACTAGTGGCATGAAAGGCCTGCAATAGTTAAGTCCAACAAAAAGTCGATCTTAGTCTTTGTGAAACACTCCCCAGGAGTTACCTACTATCAGGTACCCATGCACTATGTCTACGTTGAGAGTGGCATATTAGCTAAATGACTTGCTAAAGGACATTCAAGCTGTGACCGGGAATGGAACAGTGATGTTTCACCATTTGATCCAGAGCAAGGAGTCACTACATCTATAATTTACTCAATGTGATTTTATATTTTGTTGCCTGATCGATGCAGTCAATGATATCTTGATTTTGTTGTTGCTGTTGAAGCTCCTAGACCATTGTGCCTGTTGTAGGGACTGTGCTATGCAACAGTCTCAACCTCAATGGTGATCATTTCAAGTGCCGGGTAGGAACCTGTGCTACCTATTGACAATGGGTTCATCTTTATTAGTGGTAACATTCACTGAATTATACGTCAATAAGATTCTGTGTTAGTAGATGATGTCAATGATATCTTGATTTTGTTGTTGTTGTTGCAGCTCCGGAGCCGTTGGTGATTGTTGTAGGGACTGTGGTATGCAACAGTCTCAACGTCCAAGGTGATCATACCATCATGAGTGGCTTCATGCACAAGATGGCCAATGCCGGTCCGATCAAACAGTGGAGAAAAAGATGGTTTGTTCTAAAACATGACAACTGCCTCTACTTCTACAAGACTGAGAATGTGAGTCTACTTCCAGATTAATTTATTTTTGCCCTATTTCTAGGATTTATTGACATAAAATATTTGTTTCTTTGATATACTTTACATGCCTGTTTAGAGCCAGAAGAGCATCAACACATATTTTCTGTTTACAGTCACTGCCCTTTTTCTCAGCAGACATTATAATTATTGTGAACAATTTGTAATAATGCAGACAGGGCATATTTCACTTGCATAGAAATTTTATTTAGAATTCAAATCACAGAATTACTCATTTATGTTCTAATGTTTGAACAGAAGCATGAGGTTAGATAGCATCTACTGAGAGCCAGAAAGATGTTAATTGTATGTCAAAGTATACCAGCCCTTTTGCCTCTCATCTGACAATAATTAGAGTTCTTTCTACTGTTTTCAAAATGAATATACAGTCAAATCTGTATATAGCAACTGCCTAAAGGAAACACAAAAAGTGGTCTTTGTAAACAGGTTCCTTTAGTACATCTTTCAATGAGAAACCATTTTCAAGGGAAACAAAAAATGTGGTCTTTGTAGACAGGTGGTCACTAAAGCAGGTTTGACTGTAATACTTCATCCCTAATCTATATAAGTACATTATCTCTCCTTCAATATATTTTCCATGCAGGATAAACTTCCCCAGGGAGCAATAGTCCTGCAGAACTACACAGTAACCAAGGCTAGGGATGCCGGCAAACAATTCTCATTTAAACTCACCAAAGAGGGCGCCAGAACATATGTCTTCTACACAGCCAATGAGGAGGAGATGAGCAGGTGAGAATTTTTTTTCTTCTTTCCTTTGATATTTGTCAAATGTTTTAGAAAACCAGCTAGATGAAGGGACTATGAGCAATAGGCTTCAAACTTGGAGGTCCCATTTTTGTTATAGCCCAGTTATCCCCACTTTTTTTCTTCATTCTTTATCTTAATCCAGTGACTACTGTATCCTCTAATCCACATAGGTTTAATACAGGGATCACCCAGTTCCCATAGGCAGAGGGCCAACTGTGTTGATAAGTTTGTGTTTTGATAAGCTAATATTCAATCCTCTCATGACAATCTGATTGTTTTATTTGGGCAGTCCTGTTGAGTGTACATGTTAATATCAAGTTTACATGTTATGTTTACCCAAAGTTAACATTCATAATGGTAGACCTACTAGATCTCTACATATTTCGTCATCTGGCCAAGCGAGGGAAAACCCCTGAAGCACTTATATATGTATTAGGAATGTCCTATGATGTCGTTGCTGGAGTGGATTAATGGTTAAAAATAATAAGACAATGTAGTTGATTTCAAAGCAAAAAGTTCAATTTATTTTCTGTGGCTCGACAAATTATGTTAATCGTCAGCTGTCAGCTAGTGGGGAATTTACTGAAATACTCTTTTATGTATATTCTGAATGACCTTCTAGCTCTCCAGCAGACAAAATGCTATAAAATAATCACACCAGTTGTTACTTGACTAGAATTGATGGCCCACCTCTGTTTTTAAACTAAATTTATGTCCGTCCATCAGTTGGGTAATGCCATCAACAGAGTTTGTGAATGGTATGAAACAATCTCACCAAGTGTTACTTATGGAGTGAATAGCTCACCTTTTATATGGGACACCACTGACATAATGTATGTTTAATACTGCTTTCTAACTGGGTTCTATCGGATTCACACCGATGAAAATACCGATTGAATTTTCCTTATGTAAACAGAGGTGAAACTGCAGTTTTCCCCCTGTCGATTTCTAACTGCCAGTGAAATTCACTCGCTGTGGCGAGCCCTTGCCGGAAGTGAAGAATTATTGCGTAATTATTAAGCCCGCGCTCCATCTAGCTAGCATGCAGCATGTTCAACCATAAGTCAACAAACACAGCTGGTTACGATAAAGTGCGCGTATACTGCAACCTTTGACCATTTTAATCGCTGTTTTAATCGCCTTTTTCTCCCAAACGTTTTCTAACTGGCCGTTTCATCGGTGTAGCACCGATAGAATGAGAATTTAATCGCCTATTTCTCTTCTTTTCATCGGCTATTTAATCACCTTTTTCTCCTCTGTTGCTTTCTAACTGACCATTTCATCGGATGCGTCCGGATGCATCTGATGAAAATCAGTGCAGTTAGAAAAGGGTATTAGATATATATGTTTAAGATTGATATAGAAATCAATAAATCAAATCAAATCAAATCAAAAGAATATTCTCCAAACCTATATCTCTTTTTCCAGTTGGGGTAAGGCCATTAACGATGCGGCCAACCCGAGCCACAAGACGGACGTCTGGCTGGACATTAGCACCCACAACGTGAGTCTGCCGGCCCTGTCAATCAAGGACCCAGAATGCAATGGGTTCCTCACCAAATGGAACGGCAAGATGAAGAATGCTCGGAGACGGTTCTGTGTTCTGAAGGATGCCTGCCTCTATTATTACAAGGAGATGGATGCCCTGGATGCACAAGGTTTGTTGTTTGTTTGTCTTGAAGTAGAAATCATTTAACTGATTTGAGTTAAAGCCCCACTGTACTACTTGTAGCTACTTGCTCCCTCTATGTAGAAAACAATGCCTAAGCGGTGCCCGTTGGTCCCCCATCATCCTCTTTTCTTATGTTAATTGAGAGCTGAGTTGATGAGAAAGCCACCTGTCAGTGACCACACTGGGTGGTCTAATCCCTCCTGGCCAAACTAGTGCAGACGGGCTTTAAGGATATGTTTGTTGTCTTTTTTAAAAGTGCCGATCATCATGCATGAGATTGCTTTTCAGCCAATGAAGGGTAGATTTTAGTGAGGAAGTGAATATTAGTTTGAAAATGAGTTTTCCTACCAAACGAAACAGGATATTAAAGACATCTACTGAAATGGACACCTGAAATATGTATACAAAAAGTTCCAGTGGTCATAGAATTGAAAGTTGAATTACCCTGGCTAAAATTATGTCTAAACTATTAGAATTCTTGACTTTCCAAATCAAAATCTACATTGCCAAGAGAACAGATTGAAAAAAATTGCATTACTTGTTAGTATGATGTACTGCAAAAAAGAAATGATGGCAATGAGAGCTACATGAGATAATAACTTTGTCCTAGATTTGTCACGGAATTCATTTGGACTACTTGCATGGAGAAATTGTAAATGAATGTAAAATCATTTTCATCTCTAGGTGTGGTTCATCTCCATGGTTACAGCATCCAGGAGTCGGAGCTGAAGGGTAAGAAGTTTGCCTTCATCCTGAAGCCACCGGATGAAGAGCTGAGAGAGTTCTACTTCTTTGCAGATCACGACACAGATCGTAAAAGGTATTTTGAAGTCACCAAGTTCGTTTATTTGAATTGGGAGATACTTAAAGATGTGTCTGGTGATGAGTGTTTTCACCTTGATGTCATGATTGTCTTGATCATAGTCATGCACCATCATCATCATCATCACCTTCAACATTGAGAGTTTCATCATTTTCATATCTGTTATCATCATTTCTAAATCCTACATTGTCATTAACATGATCGTCATCAACATTTTCATCATCATTAATCCTCATCATCATGTATCATCGTCATAATATTCAACATTTTCACCACAGTCATGGTAATGTGGTTGTCATCATCACGATTTAATCTTACATTGTCATCATTTTCATCATCATCAGTCCACATGATCATGTGAATCATTAAAGGTCTGGACCAGTTTTCGAAAAGCCCCCCCCCCCCCCCCTCTCAAAAATGAAATGGAAGCTCTTATCACCAATCATGTGAAAGAATATGTTTTGACTAACCGCCTACTAATTCATATATTTGGTAAATTGTTATATCTATCCGGACTGGATAGATATATAGTCCCATATACATCTTTCTGTGTACAGTGCTTATAACTTTACCAAGATTTGGCCAAATTTCTTATCATTTTGATGATTCCAGAATCTTGCAGTAAACACCAATACTTATATGCTAGACGATCAACCTTTTCTGATCAATTCCACAACGTTTCTTTCACAATGCAATCGCATGACCAGAACTGGTCTATACCTTTAACCAGTTGTGTTTTCTAATTACAGATTCCACAAAAAAATAAAGAAGGGTAGAAAGGTAACAATCCCAACAATAATTGTGTAGACTTTCCAGCGTTTAATCAATTTATTTGCAACTCAAGAAAAAATTATATCAAAGAATGCTTTGATTGTCGCTATTGTAATTCTGTGTTTCTTCTCACTTTTCCATGATAGATGGGTAGCTGCCCTCGCATCCTCCATAGGTCGGTGGATCTCTACCAATAACCCTGATGATGGAGAAGATGAAGGAACAGAGATGTATATATGAGACCAGATGCACCAAAGATCCATCGTCATTGCTATACTCCCAGCTCATTCTGTAAAACCAGAAACTTCCGCAAATTTTGTTGATGTTTGAGATTTCCGAACGTTTCATTCCACAAAATTATTAGATCACAACACAGAATATTTGCAGTTTGCTAAAGGTTCTTGCCATGAAAATGACCATCATGACAAACAGTTCCTGACAGTTTCATGCTGTGAAGTTTCTGGTTTTGCAGCACCTTGGATTTAATAGTTTGTAACAAATGGAGTCAATCCATATTTGAGCAGTTTAATACACCTAGTTGTAAAGTTTACAATCTTCAGTAATCTTCCAGATGCTACCTTTGTTTCCATGGTGATTAGTTGTGTAACTGATGAAGCCACTCCAAATATCAAAGTGCAGTAAGATGATGATATGGAGTTGTAATCATTTGGTAACCCTGCAGTTGCTATATAGCTACGTCTCTTTGGTGATTAAGATAGTACCTTAGAATGATATGAGCAAGGTTAGGTCAAAGTTGATTGGGTTTTCCATAACTGGTAGCCAACTAACTCCTACCATTGTTTCAACAAAAGTCCAAGTCCACTCAACTGTCTGTGGTGAAAAGGTTAAATGTTGATGTGCCACATTGCTCTGGCAAGATTTTGGTACCATTTGAATCCCTTCACCTTAGAATGATATGAGCAAGGTTAGGTCAAAGTTGATTGGGTTTTCCATAACTGGTAGCCAACTAACTCCTACCCTTGTTTCAACAAAAGTCCAAGTCCACTCAACTGTCTGTGGTGAAAAGGTTAAATGTTGATGTGCCACATTGCTCTGGCAAGATTTTGGTACCATTTGAATCCCCTTTATCATTTTCTTCCATCCTTTTTATATGAACTTAAAATCATGTAAAATAACGCTTAATCTGGAGCAAAGTCTATTTTCTAAATTGCTGTGTTGATTTTAGGCAGGGCTAGCATTGTATTCAGAATATGTATTACAATCCTGTGAAGTTTTTCTCTCGTTTATGTATATACATGTATCTTAGCAGTGGCCTAGCTACCATGGGGTATTATAAAGGGCCACTTGCCCACCCTGCAATTGAATGACAAAAAGAAAGGGGGAAAGGGGGAGACCTAAAGAAAAAAAGAAAGGAGGAAAGGGGGGCAACAAAAGAGAAAAAGAAAAGAGAAAGGGGAGAGAAAAGTGAAGAGGAAAAGAAGGGGGAAGGGGAACTAAAGAGGAAAAGAAAGGGAGAAGGGAAGGCAATTAAAAGAGCAGATTATATGAAACCGTCCACCCCTCCCTTCACTCATTGACCTTTGTGTTCCGTTCACCATTTTCAATTCATTATATCTCTTGTCTTGAAGTTTCCTTTCGTTACCAAATCGTAATTATTGGAATATACGCTGAGTGTAGCTGGCGGCCTCAGCGTATATTCTAACAAGCATGTTGCTGTGAGACAGGCATTTTGTGTACAACTAATCCATTTCAGTACATTTATATCTCTAGTGTATGTCATTATAATCAGTACTTTCACTGGCTAAAAAAACAGTATTGTAGTAGTAAAATAGTAGATGTGAAATGAATATACATACTTGTTTGTATATTTCAAATTTGTATGATTATGTTCAATTGCTGTTGGTTAACCTATGGTGTGGGAAGTGCCTTTAACTTGAAAGGCTTTGAATTTGAGAACACACCCAGAATAACAGAGGGTGTCTGCTTGTTGAGACCAAATCAAGTTATACTCTGATGTATAGAACTCTACATTTTTGGTGATAACTAATACTTTTTGTGATAATGAGCATTGTAGACAATGTAAAAGAGGTTTCTGAATGGCTGATTATTATGTTCCAGAATATACCATTTAAATGTATAGATGTGACAATGACAGACAGTGTTTTTTTATGCTACTACTATTAAAAGTGATTCATAAGGTATTATCTTCTTGGGCTATTTTTCTATCCTGTACTTCCCCGGTGAGATGGTCTATTTAGATTTAGGTTTAAAGAAACCCAGAAGTTATTGCCAATTTACTGGAATTATGAATTATATGATTCATGTACTGGCGATGGTGATATCTTAAAAACTGTGTCTTAGAACATACTATTCAATATTATATGTGGTCCCACTGAACATCAAAATTCATTGCAATCTATTCATTAATGTTGAGCTAAGGTCAATGGTTATCCAGACATAATATAGATGAATATCACAGCAATTTTTTTGTGTTGTTGTATATTTTAAGTTGTTGGCTATGTTCCACCATTATGAGAAGGAATGGCCATTAGAAGAAGGTATATTATTGGTATTCTTCAGTTGTTTTGCAGTATTCTTCCAATTTTAAGCAGAAGTACTAATCATTACATACATGTAAAGAAATTATGTGTTCAATTCTAAAGATTGTTGTACTTGTTGTACTATTACCACTAAACTTCCCTTTCAAATATATTTGTATATTTCTTGTTTGGACAACTCTTCTGTACTGTGATGGGGGAACAACATTTTTGTGACCATTCTTTGTATTCATTCGCAATCAGTACTTCAATCACACATTTCTTTAGCTTGATTGTATTTCTGCAATTTGAATAATATATTATGTTTTTAGGCATATTGTCCTTCATAAAACAGTATCTAACGTTCTACCTAATTTGTTGTACTGTAATACCTGTACCTTGTACTTTGCCTTTTAAACATGTAAATTATTGAGCATAATAATGAAAGCTTAATATTCACTTACTAAAATGTGAGCTAATATAATATAATCACTTTTCAGATAATCAATTTTGTATAGGAATCGCCATTTGTATTAATTCTGTATGTGCCTTACTTAATCATGCGATATATTTACTTGTAGTGTATTTATATGATAATAGTTGGAAATTAGTTATTCTATACACTTGTATTGTAGGAATATATTTTTCAAGTCTATTTCTGCACACTTCTTATTGAAGTATATGGAATTTAGTCTTTCTTTCTAGAATTTATAGATTATTTTGTACTTTACCTGAGCTTATTTGAGCTCAACTTTGCTTTTATATCAGTTTTATATTGCTTATGATGTGATTTCATAGTTTCATGTGTCATAGTGGATTTTCATATTGATATTTCTTTTGCATCTTGACTTCTTCCTGTTTGCATTTTTCATCGACTTCTTTCCTTATTTTTCTTCTTTTCTTCTTCTTTTTCTATCCACCGCTATGTATTAATATCTGTTAACTGTTCTCCATTTTCCACCTCCTTTTTTTCTCTTCAGTGACCCTAAATTGGTGCATATAATTATGCTTAAGTTAGTAATCATTAGTATAGCATGTTATGACACAAAAACATTCAAATGCAAAAGTATAAGAAATGCAAAAGTATAAGTACAGATATTCCTGCCTGTAAGTTTAGCTCATTTGAGGTGAAATTCCTCATTCAGTGTTACTATTTGCCTTTTTTGTTGTTTTTGCTTTATATGCAATGGAAAACAGAAAAACAATTTAATTTCGCTTGCCATGATATTATTATTGACTCGCTTACTCATTCTTAACGTATCTGCAATATCTTTTTAGTAGAGTATACATTTTGATGTACTTTCGACAATTCTGTGGTTAGTCGTATGTAGTAAAAAAATAACCTATATAATGGCTTTATATCAACAGAGAAAGGTGAAAAATAAAGTGAATAATAAATGATTTACTACTACTTTCAGTGCTTTTGTTTCCATTGTTCAGTAGTTTCAAGTTAACATTTCACTTTTATAACCTTTGACAATTTAATTATTTTTGTTGAAGGACACTAAGTATAATTACAATTAGACGATGATTGATTAATCTGCTTAAAATTAACAGTTTGCCATACATCAATCATCAGAATACACCAAAATTTTAGTCAGTATCAAAATATTTGAAACAATAATTGGGATTGAGTTGGGATCTCTGAAAAAAAAGAAAAAAAGCAATGCATATAATTCAAAGTTATATTATATCTTATAGGGTAGGCTTTATTTGCACCATATGAGAGAAGAGGATGGGGAAGTCCTGAAAAGGACTGTTTAGTAAGCTTTCTTGTGTAGTCCTAAAAGGACTGTGATAGTTCTTTTTAGAACTACAAGCTCAGAAAGATTACACCAGACTTATAGGAGTACCACAGTCTTTTTTTAGAAGAAAGTTTTTTCTTTGAGTTTTGAAGTGATTTTTTAAAAAGATAAATGTCTGTGCACTGCCATGAAATTATTACATATGTGCACTGAGATAAAGAACTAGTTCTTGTACCATCCCTTCCTCTTTCTCTCTCTCTCTCTCTCTACAGAAGAAAGATTACCAAACAGCGACGGTCCTTTTCAGGACTTCCCAACTCTCCCCTCTCACATGATGCAACCACAAGCCTACTGTATATCTACATCACCATACTTATGCAGCATATTCTATCTAATTGTTTTAATCCTTTTTTTTTGACAGGGTAATATTTTTTAAATGCGACCTTGATGCTATTTATAAGGGACATCTTATGTAACTGTTATTTCTATTTTTAAAGCTTAATGTAAAATGCGTGGTTAAGCTCCACAAGATCGGAAGGTGAATTGCTGTTTGGTCTAAACCAGTTTGTGTCTACTACCCATTTAGTCTAATATGGTCCACACCCAGCCCGTTATCCACGTGGTCTCTTAATCATTTAATCATTATTGTAATAATAATCATCGAATGATTATAAGACCTTATTATATGGATGGTAGATGTAATAAGCATTGGACAAACTGGGAATTAAACCAAACTAAATGGTCATTAGACCAAATGATAAGAAGATAAAATGATTATTGGACCATGTGGATAGTAGACTACTTAAGTAGTCTAATATGGGAATAGACCAATTGGGTAGTAGACGAACTACATTGTAGGGTTAGACCAATCGGCTATGAACCGATCGGAACATGTTGATGAAGTCGTGCTAGAATTATTGCATCTAAAAGGGTATAATGATTTAACCGACAGAGGGCGTAAATCGCGAATGGTTGTGTGAGATAAGAAAGCTCGTGCTGGGCATTTTGAAATCGGAAAAATATCGAGCTCCATTTTACTTTCTTTCAAACGAGTTGGATCACTAGAAACGACGCACCAATGTTATTTATTGAGTCTTTTTGGTGAGGTAGCCCAAACATCTACAACAAAAACAAATTCACTCCACTAGGAGGAGGAGGAGTAGTAGTATTAGTAGTAGTAGTAGTAGTAGTAGTAGTAGTAGTAGTAGTAGTAGTAGTAGTAGTAGTAGTAGTTAGTAGGCCCTATGAGTAGGTTTAGGAGTAGTTTTAGGAATAGGGGAGGAGAAGGAGGAGGAGGGGGAGGAGGAGGAGGAGGAGAGAGAGAGAGAGAGAGAGAGAGAGAGAGAGAGAGATGTAGTAGGAATAGTAGTAGTAGTAGGAGTAGTCGATTTTATTAAGAGACATTCAACAAATCCCCTCCACTAGGAGTAGTAGTAGTAGTAGTAGTAGTAGTAGTAGTAGTAGTAGTAGTAATAGTAGTAGTAGTAATAGTAGTGGAAGATGATGGCTGCGGAGTGAGAAGGAAAGAAAACACAAGTGGCAGGAGTTGGATTTAGTTAATACCTAGAATTTAGTCACTATAATGAGCAACGCTTATGAGATCGGAATTTATTTCGGAAAAAATCAAGATCAGTTCAATCCAGCGATGTCAGTAATGTTTTATTCATCCTTTAAGTGGTTTCACTTTGTGACCTTTTGGTAACCCGTCACACAAAAAGCTTGAACCACTTGTCTAACGTGACGTAAATCTACTTCAAAATATTTGTATTGAGTGTTTATTTTTGCTATTAATAACATCAATCATCCTCTTTCCTTTCAATATTGTGATATAGCAACCAGAATAACAAAGTCTCAGGTGAACTATAAAAACATTAGAATAATGATCATGTCTTCCAACGATATGTGTACGAAATACATTACACGTTTAAGTCATTTGTAATCCACCCAAACAGGCACTAACAAAA